TAATCCATGGACAGCTAGCGCGCTGATGAAAATGAGCAGGGCCCCTGCAGCCAGCATGGTGCTGTGTCAAACTGTCAGCACGGTGCAGAAGAATGAAGTTTCACAGTTTGACTTTAATACCCCCAAACTCCGCAATACCCTACTTATTCACTTGTCAATCTTTAGCCAGCTGCATTGATTCCATGAGCGTTTTGTGTGTTTTAGGCCACTGCGTACTTGTTCAACACCACAGTTTCATTTATTTAACCCTGTCTTGTTTACTCGTATTACATTTTAACCTTAAAATCTTTATGTTATGCATCTGGTTCAGAGGTTCAAGTGCAGACAAAGACACGGCAGACAGAATGTTCACAGTAATATTTATTTAGAAAGATATTTACAAAACCAAACTACACACAAGTATAAAGGATAAGTAGAATTGAAATAACCAAAAGATCTACAGGAAGCAAAGAAAACCACAGATAAGTATACGGAGCAGATCAAGGCAGATAACAAAACTGAATGAGCCAGGGAAAATTAACAGGTTGTAAGTTTACGGTCCGGCATTGGGTAGTGGTCCGCTGGTGTCTTTTATGGAAAGTGAAATGAATGAGATGAATGCACCACTCAACTCCGTGACTAGAGACAATCAGTGATTGCAGATTGGCTGCACCTGCTTGCACCTTGATCACATGCCTCACTCACATACACCTGAGAGGAAGAGAGAGAGAAAGAAAAGAGAAGGAAGGAGGAGGAAGAAGGAAAGCACTGCCACTAAACAGAGCCTGATGTGGCAGGCATGACAGTACTCCCCCCTTCCAGGTGTTCCTCCAGGCGCACGCTGGAACTTGTCAGGACACCTTGTCCTCAGATCATGGGTCAGATTGGGGTCCAAGATCTGGCGTCTGTGAATCCAACTTCTCTCAGGTCCATCGTCTTCCCAGGGAACTGAAGTCCCCGGCCACGATGGCGAACATCCAACAGCTGTCATATGGAGAAGGCAGGCACATAGTCCACCATCCTGAGTGGTGGAGGGAGACAGATGGGGGGGGGACCAGTGGACTGTCTTGGACTGGCTTGATCTGGGACACATGGAATGTCGGATGTATCCTCATAGAGGGTGGAAATCTCAGATGAACAGCACTAGGGTTAATGATTTTAACAATTTCAAATGCCCCCACAAACCGAGGGGCCAACTTGCGAGAGTCAACTTTCAAAGTTTGCCTTTAGCAAAACCTGTCCAAGAGCGTAGGTGGGAGCCGGGGAACAGCGGCAGTTAGTTGTGTTGACCAAAGCAAGGCCATCTGCGCCTTCGTCAAGATCTTTTCACAATGTCAAATGAACACCTAGAATGATGGAACGGAGATCTCCTGCTCCTAGGACAGGAACAGGGGAGGCTGGCAACCCAAGGAGCAGTGGAATGGCAAGAGACCAAAGCATGTGTTAGTAAGTGAATTGTGCGCATACTCAAGCCAGGTAAAGTGGTTGCTCCAGGCCAAAGGGTTCTCCAAGGTGATGCGCCTGAGGAAGTTCTCCAGAGACTGATTTGTCCATTCAGTTTGGCCATTTGGGGTGTGGGTGAAATCCAGAAGACAAGCTGACTGTGGCTCCCAGGGCTGAACAGAAGGCCTTCCAGACGTGAATTGGAGACAATGTCGGCAGGGATATCATGGAGTCAGAGGACACGCTGGGTTAACAATTCTACAGTCTCTTTGGCAGAAGTAAGATTAGGGAGAACCACAAAGTGAGCTGCTTTAGAAAACCGATCAACAATAGTAAGAACACTTGGGTGAAGAGGCCTGGTTGGCTTGAGGGTTTCTGGAAGCAGCAGACAGGCAACAGTTGGCCAAAAGGGCTGCAGCAGCTGAGGGAGGAGTTTAGAGAAGCCATACAGAAGGACTTTCGGTTGGCTTGGAAGAGGTTCTGGCAAACCATTCCTCATTCCTCCATTCCTGCTGGAGATTGTTAGGTGGTGGAAAGAACACTCTGAGGAACTCCTCAACCCAATTAACATATCCCCTACTGAGTCTAAAGACTTGGGGGAAACTTTGCCCATTTACATGGTACAGGTAGCCAAGAAGCTGGCCCTGAGAAGGCTCAGGTTATTGTCGGACTGTCTTGGATGACATGTCTCTTTGGGGTCGCATGATCATTGTGGACGGTGCCTGTGGATTGATGGACTGGAGTGGTGGTTCCCATTTTTAAAAGAGGGACAGAGGCTCCCACCGACTGTCAAACCCCAAATTCAAGAGACGCACTGATCATGCAACAGTGGACCAGCTCTTTACCTTTTATTTTATGTTTATGTTTTTTGTTTTTGTTTTTTACATTTGCCTGTAAAGCACTTTGAAAAACTTTTGTGTAAGATAAGGTGCTATATAAATAATTGTGCTTGCTTGCTAAAGGTCAAAAGAATTACAATTGTTTTATAATAAAAGATTACTTTATCATTTCAAATATTCTGCATTACTATTATCTTGAAACCTTCTAGCAGCTGAAAAGGAGGTTTAAGACCATATGAGTATGTTATTTGAATAAATGTTGGAATGTAACAAGGAACTACGCCCATTTCTGTTTGTTTGTGTGTCTTTGGGGATTGTACCTTGGCTAAATTGAGGCTTAAACAGCTTCTGCCAGAGTCAACACAGATGTGTCTGTCATGGGATAAAGCTCTCATTTCACCTGGGCTCACTAAAACAAGATTCGGTCGAGCAGTGGGAGGTTTCATTATAGCAGCCACATGACTGGAGAAGAGATCCGAGGGTAAACAGAACGGATTAACCTCGTGACAGAGAGTGTTTGCTTTAAAAAAACATATGATAGCCAAGGTTACTAAATGTCCAACGCAAAGCTGTGGTTGTGTTGTATCAAAGGTCTCTCTCAGAAATACTTCTTGCATTACATTTTTTAATAGTTGTTGCAACCAGGCTTGAAAAAACAGAATATAATCACAACACAGTGCAGTATAGATGAGTTCATATGAGGTAACACAAGTTTGACACCATGTCAAGTTGGAGATATTTTCTGACACAAAAGGAAATTACAGTCAGTGGCAACTTTTCTGTAACACCTGTCCAGTGTGCAACATGGATTCTTATGAGAGCAAATGACGAGCGATCCAGTCAACGAATCTTCCAACGTTAGCGTAGACGCCAGGCTTATATTTCTTGCCACAGCCGTCGCCCCAGCTCACCACGCCGACAACGTAGTGGGTCCCATTACGCTCACACACCAGAGGGCCTCCAGAGTCACCCTGCAGGGGCCCAGAGATGTTAAATAAATAATCACGCATCATCCACATAGAACAATAAAAAGCATGCAGTCGTGGACAGACCTGGCAGGAGTCGACGCCTCCTTTCATGTTCCCGGCACAGAACATGCTGTCATCCAACGAGCCTCCGTAAACATGGGGAGCTTTACATTTCTCCTGGGAGATCAGGAGAACCCGAGCGTCCAGCAGCTGGTTCGTACCATATTTCTCTGAGACGGAAATAAAGCAGCAGCAAACAGTTATTTTATATATCAAGTTCAAATGCATTCGTAGTGACACGTGGAACAATGTAGGAGATAAAGATGTAAAACTTTACAGTTTTTCTCGTAGATTAATGGTAGCAACTGGACTTGCTTGAGTTCCACCTCTCATCCAAAAAGCTTCATCAGTTCTGACTGACCCCAGGAAGATGGAACCACATTCACACATAGCCACAAAAGACCCTAACAAACCCCACTGTGTCAGGGGGAGCACTAGCGACTCACATAACGAGGGGGAGGAGCAACAAACCCCCAATTGAAACCCAAACTCAGGTGTTAATGGCTCCTTAAGGATATAAGTATCTGGAACTCCCAACTAGTCAGTCAGAAGCACTTCTCTTATTTGTTTATTTATTTATTTACTGTATTTAAAAACGTTATTTTACATTTTTTGTCATTTTGAAATTTAAAAAAAGAGAAAAGAAGAAAAAAAAAAAAAACAGGCCACAACTGTCCATAATGTCCACATTAAAAACTGAATAGTTATTTGTTCTTTCACAATTCTTTTCTACTGCATTTAAATCAGCCTAAAATATTAATATTTCACAGATGTTTTTCTTCAGTTTTCACAGATTCATTTTAGTGTTTTTTTTTTTTATTTTAACATTTTCTTATTACTATATTTTATTTTTCTGGCACCCTTGCTGCCCGATTCCTTTCTTTTTTTTCTTTTTTTTTTTACAGTGTATATGCACTGATGGTATATGAGGTTTATGATATTTAACTTTAGCCTTTTAATTTAAAGTTATAATAAATACAGAGCCGTATCTATTACAACCACATTCATTTGAAGAGGCTCTGTAGGGCGGACTCTCATTTTGTTCTTCATTGTTTTCACACTTGCCTCCAGCAGTGGAGCAACTCATTTATTTTCTGTTGTGAGATGACACACTTTGGAATGAACAAGTAGAAATACATTACCCTGTTTGCCGATGTAAATGCGTGATATAGGCCTAGGTGAACCAGATGAATATCCATGAGCTGCCAAAGTTCAAAACATTCTTATTGGTTCAATCTTTTAACAAAAGGGTTCTTTTAGTTTGATGTTCTTTAAGTCGACCATTCTGCCAAATACAGCTTCAAATGTATAAAATCTCAAACTCCTCATGACCGAGACCTGAGAAAACGCCTGTGACCCGTCACCCTGCACTCTGGTTATCTCGTCATGGCAGTTTGTTATTCAGTGTGTGGGTGTCAGTGTAGACTGAACTGATACTTACGTGTTTCAGTCACTCCCCATCCTGAGATCACACACTCGGTCCCACTGCTGAACGGCTGGTTAGGCAGGCAGGCCGTCTTTACAAAGCGGGTTTCTTTGGCACAGTATGGTCTGTCCATGACTTTCAGCTGAAGCATAGCTACACGGGACGAAAAAGAAAAGAATGCTCTGTAATCGCATTTACCAAGGTAAAGGTTCAGTCTAAAACGACTTAATAATAATAATTTATTGAATAATTTTTATGTGGACAAGCTTAATGAAGATCGAATGAATGATTGCCTTTCTTTGCTCCTCACCGATGTCGTTATGAAGAGCAAACGGGCTCTCCTTGTACTCCTCATGCACGACGGCCTTCTCCACAGGAATGACCTGATCATACAATTCGTCTTTCTCTATGTCCACTCCTCCCAGCACCACCTGCATTTCCATGTCCTTTTTACTGGGAAAGGAATTGAAAAGACTGTCAGACATTTGAATGTGCTGCTGTCAAAATCCACTTCAAACGATGCTTTGCCTGCTTCTGCGTCACAGATCCTGGGGCTTACATGCAGTGGGCAGCAGTGAGGACCCAGCAGGACTGGAGGAGGATGCCTCCACAGATGTGGCTGAAGGGCCCCGAGGAGCCTTTTGTTCTGGTCTGCAGGGAGACCTGCCAAGGATGAGCCCCGGGAAGAGACTTCTTCCCTCCGAAGATCCTGGCTGACCGGCCGGGCTGTGGCCTCCCACACTGGGAGAACTGGGCAGCGGCAGCGTTTGGCGAGACTGGAGTTGGATCTGTTACATGGACGGTTGGTGATGTCGCTGGAGCTGGGAGGGAAACGGAGTACATGAAAGCAGTGGAGGGAAGTGCATGTGTGTGGATGTTTGTCTTTGTTTACCTCCAGAACACTTTCTGATGTTACAGTAGTTCCACTTCAGTTTGCCATTTTTGTTAATGAAGCACCAGGGCTGATCATCTCCATCAGGGTTCCTTGAGCACAAAATTACTTGTTAAACCTCTTAGTTGCATTTGAAGACATTTGAAGAAGCTGCAGAGTTTACCTCACATGCACTGTATGCACATGTATTTATCCTGGTAAATATATATATGTTTACTGCTGATATAATATCAGCAGTAAACATGAGCAATATTTACACACCATGACTCCTCACCTGCAGTAATTATGAGGTCCAATTCCATCGAAGCCTTCATACTCTTTGAAGGGATCTCCGCCCCTCTGCACGATGAAATAGGAGTTCCAGTCCAGACACTCCTCCCCTTCGACTGTTACACTCACCATGCCGCGGTAGGACTCTCCGTCACCTTGGTAACACTCATTACTCCCTAGAAAAAATGTTTCCCTTTAACAAGATAACATCCTGCCTCTTCGAAGATACAGCATGTTTGTTTCAAAGCGTGTTATTCTGTGACTGCATTTACCAACTTCACAGAATTTCCCGCTGTAGCCATCAGGGCAGGAGCACTGGAAGGTGGAGCGCTTGGGGCCCCTCATGCATGATCCTCCGTTCTGACAGGGGTTTGGCCTGCAGGGGGAAGCTGTGCAAGGACACCAGTGTCTGAAGGACTCAATGCAATAAAACAAGTGTACTATAATGAAACTGGATGCAACAAGTCTGTAAGATGAGAATAGATGAGATGAGAAAACCTTTCTTGCAGTTGGGTGGTTTGTACGGAGGCCTGCACTTGCACTCGTAGAACGGGGCGGTGGACGTGACCACGCAGCTCCCGTGGCCACACTTCACATTCTTACAGACGTCTTTCACTGAAAAGGATTTGGTATATTTCTAAAATTTCCACTAACACAGACAGATTTAATGTTAATTTAAAAGCCAAATTACAATCCAGTTTTGATTAAGCATTTTTGAGACAACTATAGAACCACTAGGGGGCAGCAAAGACTTTTTTTTTTCAAATCTTACAAATAGCTTTAAATTGAAACCTGAAAAAAAATACATAAAGAAGAAGGAATTAAAGCAACAGGCAAAAAAATCTACTTCCATGTTTTATAGATACTTTATATATTCAAATAGAGAAATCAGAATGTTTTGGATTTTGAATAATTGCATTTCTTGAATTTCCCTTCTGGGATGAATAAAGTATTTTTCATTTCATTTCATTCATTTATATTTTAATACAAGATTTCTTATGCAGTCAAATTTTTGAAAAGTTTAAAAGTTAAGAAAAATGAATCCTGATAGTTGAAAACATACATTTTCAACTTTACTGCACTTCACTGAACAAATTGTCTTGAATAAGTTTCTGTTTTGACGCACATACATGGACACATAGGAGCAGCCGTACCTGTCTGACACTTTTTTCCCATGTAAGGTTCAGGACACGAACACCTGAAGCTCCCGTCAGCAGAATGGTCACATGTTCCTCCATTCAAACACGGGTTTGGATCACACTCATCTAAATGCACACAGGAGTTGTGCAAACTGCATGTTAATATTAAGAGCTTGAGTTACACCAGTCAACACAAAGTCAGGAGCAGAGTGCAACTGATCGTATCATCAGTAAATCATAAATGGATTTTTATATCAATGCAGTAAATATTTAAAATATCTGTATAAAAGGTGTCAGAAGATATTCACCTGTAACATCCAGAAGTTCATACAACCAGTCATCTAGATCAAAATTAAAATCCTCTGCTGGGCTTTCGGTGACGTAATCATAGTAGTACTCATAAGCTGTGAGGAAAAGAGAAGAATTTAAGCATTCGAGTTATGAAAGGCTGATAAAACTGAGCTTTAGTTTACTGTAAACACAATAAAATTGACACTGTTACCATCTGTGTTGTCTGTTTCTGTGAATATCTGCAACAAAAAATAGAAAGAATCCATCAAGTTGACTCAGCTTTGAATCCATTCCAAAATAAAAGAAAAGCATGTTTTAAAGTGAATTCATCCTCTACTACATGCATACTTACAAAGATGTCCTGTCCAGATGCAGCAAATGCACACACTTGTAAGAGTAACGCTATGACGCAGGCCGCTCTGGTTTTAACCCGGGCCATGATGGGACCAGTGGAGGACTGTGGTTGGATTCTTGCTCAGACCGTCCTAAATAATCCCCCTCAGACCGGGACCCCCAAACCCTCCACCCACTGGTTAACCATTATCACCGTGCATTGATTTGACAGAAGTTCATGTGATTCTATACTTTGTCTTTTTGTGACCTGTGACCTTTATTTGTGTTGAAAGTTAAAGCAGCAAGAAAGCCGATCCAACGATACATTAAAAACAGAAAGAACACAAACAAGATCTTGCTTAAGTGGATTCCTGTGACTGCTTTTAAAATGAAATTGTGTAAAGTTGTTCATAAAATCTTTGTCTGCAGGCAGCTTGTTAATGGGCGACCTGAGTTTTCTCAGTATGCCAGAAGAGATTTGCATTTGCAGCTGATGTTTTATCACAAACTTAAGAATGTATTTATGCAAAATACTGCTGCTCAGTATGGAACTGTATAGATTCTTGCAAATTTCTATTTGTTATATTTCTGCACAACTACTGTTATGTGAAAGTAGTTGCTGCCCTAATTGTGTTTTTGCATAGAAAAGCTTTACTGGTTACAGTTGACACGCTTCAATCCTTCAGGCAACAAGGTCATAATGTTAAAACAGCAGGAGATCCCCAGTTACATGCATTAAAAGAAGCATTATTAGCATTCTGCACATTTCAAGGTGTTTAAAACTACATACTGTGTAAGTTTGCACATTCTTAGGCGAGAAATTTGCACATTTCTGCACATCGCAAATATTTCTCTTGTATTATTTTTGCAATATCTTGAATTAGATATATTTTTATATTCTATTTTTAAAAATATTTTATCCTGCTTTAACATTTTTCTACTTGTCAGTGTTTCCTGATGTGTAAAATGGAAACTCTTACATCTATTAATGACAGATTACATCATCGTTTGGTCTGTAAATAATCCCTAAAATAATCGAGCTAACAGGAAAAAAACAAACTCTTCCAGATTGTCGTAATTTGTCAGCTGGGCCGCTTTTTATTCAAACAGTGATCACTTTACAGTGGGCGCAATATGCATATTCTCAATATACAGCATTATATAGCCTTTAATGTACATGTGGAGGAGACTTACATCAGAACACTATCTCCCTGTTCGTTAGCCTCCTCTTGCAGGAAAGTGGGTCATCGCCTGTTTACACAGTAAACCCAGTAAAAAAAAAAATGTATTCAGGTTATTGACAAAGTTCAGAAGGAGTGCTTGTAAACCATATGTAATATGCCTTTTAACTTTGTCCTCGATTTGAATGCAAATGGTCCATGTTAATCTCACGCAACACTCCAAACTCGTGTTGAAGCCTATGCAGACTCTTCAAATCTGAAACCATCATAAGTGCCTCAAACTTTGATTGTTGAACTGTATGATGTCAATTCATGTCATATTCATAAACCACATGCAGGAAAATAAGTCATTAACACAGTGTTTAGGTCAGTCTGTCTGCAAACCATTTGATGTTGGTTTAAATGAGCCAGACTGAACCCAAAACATTCACATTTCCATCCTGTAAGAGTCTCTTCAACCTACATTTCATTGTCTTTAGAACCAGAGAATATGGCAAAAAGAAATCTGGTGCAATTCACAGGTTTTTCATTGGAAACAAGGAGGGTAGTGTGCAGTTTCCAGTAAGTAAAAACAATATAAAAAAAACAGTCTATAAATATAGGCATATGTTGCTAACTTTCAGGAGCAGAGTTTGCTGCGCTAGTCAGTCCTTCCCACTATCAAACTCCATGACAACAAGTCAAAAATAAGTCACAGCGTGTCCAGATGTTTGTTCGTCTTTTTGTTCCTTCTGCTCACAAAGTAAAGTTGGAGTACAGTCTCATGCATCATCCATAAAGATGCCACTCGTTCAGGTGTATTCTGATTTGCGGATGTAGTTGGAAGGCACATATCCTCGTCGACCCCCTGCCTCGCCGAGCCACCACTCGCTGTTGCCGTTCATGTCCTGGAACTCGAGTATCCGCAGCTGCTGATTGGCTGAGATGCTCAGTTCATTGGCGCAGCGGGCATTAAAGGAGTAGAGAGCGTAGTAAATCTGTGAAAGAAATAAAAAAGCAGGTGTTAATTAATGTTTGTGGTCACTTGGGGGCAGCAGAGCGAGCTCAACTAAAACTACTTCTCACCTGATGACCGTCCAGTTCACTGTCGAGTTCTGGTTCCGGCTCCGGCTCCGGCTCAATGTACTCCTCTCTGGAGTAGGTAGACTTCTTCTGGCTGCTACTATCTCCGTTCCTCCACTGATATGAGCTGTAACTTTTCTCTGTGTGTCCATACCGTTGTGCACGATTGTTTCTCTGCGAGGAGCAAGAGTCCGTCTCGGAGAGGTCCGACGTCTCCTTGTGTCCGCTTCCATAACTCGTATCGTACGAGTCTCTGTGATTGCCCGAGTGCCGGTACGAAGGCTCTGCATCTCGGTGGCTGCTGGGATTGTTCCGGTGCGTTTGGTCTGTAAAGTCCCGGCGGTTTGAGGGATTGCGCGGCGAGGAGTTTATGGAGTTGGTCTGACTGACAGACTCGGGGTTGGGTGCATCTCTGAGGTGACTCCTGCGAGACGAGGCGGAGTCCAGCGACGGGTGCGGCGACGAGTGGCTTTGGGGCTGCGATGTGGAAAAGCTGACGGTGGCCATTTCCTGGTTAAAGGTCAGCGTGCTGTTGCTGTTCTGGCGGGAGAAAACGGGGGAGGAGCCGCCGTAGCCCGACTCGTTGGACGACTGGCTCTCGATGGACACGTCCGAGTGGCTCCTGCGTGGGTTGTAGGGTTTGAGGAAGGAGCTGTACACGAAACCCTTGGTGACTGCGAAAAGAAAAGAAGAAATGTCAACAGATTCTATGACTACAAAGCAGCTTTCCTGTTAGATCGAAGAGAGTCAACAACCCACCTCCGTTATCAATCAGCCAGCGGTTATGGCTGCCCATGGGGTCCTGCTGCTTGATCACACCCACCAGATCTCCCTCTAGGATAGAAACATCCAGATCCTGGGCAGCGTTAAAGTTCCTCTCAGCCTGGAAAAGTTTCTCAGGCCCGTAGCGTACCAACAGTCCTGCACGGTGCTCGTCCGTCTGCATGATGTAGTTGGGCTGAAGGAAACACAAGAGGTTAGATCAGCGGTGGAACTCCTTGTGTGCTGTTTCGTAAAATAAGGAACATCTGATTAGAGTTCAACTCACAGGTCCCTGCAGCTGCTTTTTAGAGGTCTGCTTCTCCAGAGTTTTCTTCTCGAAGGTCTTTTTCGTGGTTGTGGCTGGAGGCAGGTTCTCGGGGCAGAAGCTAAAACTCTGAAGAAGCTGGAGGACTCGACTGTACTCGTCTTGAAACTGTGCAATCAGGTTTCCCTCTGTGCCCACTCGGTTAGAAAACTGGAGGCAAAGGTAAAGAAAAAGATCTGAGTTAGAGACAGTATGAGGCAAGTACAACTGGGCCTGGAACCTTTTATCAATAAAGTCACACTTACAACCTGCAGGAGGGGCTTCAGTTCTCCCAGCGTCGTCTTCATGAAGTCCTTCTGGGCCTGAGCGAAGGCCCTCACGCAGCCTGTAAACAGCTCCTCCGCCGCACCGTGGAACTTCGGCAGCTCGTCCAGAAGTTGGGCGTTGAGCGCCTCGTAGTTGTTCCGCGCCGCCTGCAGCTCGTCCTGGACGCGCCGGTCCTTGAGGCGGTCGGCTCGCTCCTTGCAGTTGTCGTAGTCCAGCAGCTTGTCGAAGCGTTTTTGGATGAGTTTGTGGGGCCCGGCGAACATGAGGAGGAGCTGGGTGAGCGGGTTGATGACTAAGGCCTCGGTGCGCTCCCTCTGCTCAGGGGAAGAGTTGTAATGTGATCAGAGGGTGTTGCACTGCTACGGTATCAGTGAGGCTAAACAGAGGAAAGAGGACTTACAAATTGCGTGAACTGCTTGTCGCTGATGCAGCGGTGAGCTCTCTGGAAGCGCTCGGGGTCCAGCACGCTGCGCTCTGTGTAGATGTCACAGAAACTGATGGCAGCCAAGACCTTCACAGATGCTGATTCCTGAAGGGAGGAGTGTATTTTCACAGTTAAATCCAGCAATACTACATTACACAACACACACGTTGATTACATAACTGAAGAAATATGCAGAATAACGTCTTGCACATGTTATTTTTGATTAAGTGTTGGTGTAGTATTTTTTACCATTTGGTTACTAAAATGTCTTATAATCCAAATGCAAAATATAAAAATATAATGCCATATATATATATATTAATGAATTTGCTAGGCTTGAAAATTACACTATGACTCATTTAGTATTTAATTTTTAATTTATTTAACTTCAAAAAAAACTTCCAGGAATCATTTTCTTGTGTTTACTGTAATGGGCTCCTACCTTGATATACTTCAAATTAACCTCTTGCACATTCATTTTTGACATTACGAAGGGTTAATGTAATTATTTTTGTCATTAAAATGTCTTAGAATTTTAAATCAAAATAAATTTGTTTGTTTGTATACATTTAAAATTTAGCCTATCATCAGTTATGCTCTTTTAGACTTAAAATTACATTATGATTCATATAAGATTCCACTTAAATTAAATTAAAACAACATTAAACACTGTTTTCTTGGGGTTTTCTTGTATTTACGGTAATGGGCTCTTACCCTAATATGTTGCAGGTACAAGGAAATATCCCTGATAAAGGATTTGATGAGTCTCTCCTGCAGTCTGAACTTCTTCTCAGCCTCGTCGAACGCTTCGTCTTTAATCTGGGAAAAAAGACAACAAATAGAGATCATGTGTCAGACAAACCAGCTTCCATTCACAACATTTGAGCAGTGTTTCCTCCACTTGGATTAAAAGCTTTTCTCAGAGCACTCGTGTACCTGCGGTGAAATCCCCGTGAGGTGCTTGAGGTGGCTGCTGACGCGGTTTGACTTTTTGATAATGGAGTGCATGCTCAGCTTGGAGATCTTGTCAATGAACGTGTCTTCGTCCCCTTTCCTGTACTTCACCACTGTGGGCAGCAGAGGGAAAACGTTAAGAGTTGAACCGAAAAACGACACAGTTGCACCTTAAATTCGTGGACCAGTAGCGGAGGCCTTTACCGAGGTCTTTCCGCCGCTTGTACTCGTTGATGTTCACGTTGATCTCCTTGACGGCCTGCACAGCCTGAGTCAGCTGCTGCCGGTCGTGGTGGCTGTCCGGCGTCGCTCCCAGCAGCTCCATCAGCAGCAGCGGGTACCGCATCACCCGCTGCACCGGCTTGATCAAGAAAGAGCCGAGGTTGATGTAGTTTGTTTTACCCCTGGAAAAAAAAGAGTCAGAAACGGCACAGAGTGTGAGCGGGTGAGAGGTCAAAGGGTGAGAGAGTGAATCTATGTGTCTGGAATCACAGAACAGTCACAATCACAGCTACTGACTGTAAAAAAAAAAGAAAGGGTTTCTTCCCCAAGTCTCACTATGATGGAAATCACACGTCTCCATCATAGTGGTAAATAACCATCATCATATACACACATAATATGATGATGGCCAGGATGGTGTTTGTAAAGAGCAGGGAAGGCACATAACAATTGATTTGCTTAGTTTTAATGCAATCTAGAGGACAAACAGCTCACAAAAACGCAGTTCAAGAGATTTATTTTGACATTAGGGGATAATATACTAATTTTTTTCCCCTAGTCAGTCGTGGAAATCCTGATATTTCATAAATTTATGAGGTCAGAAACTAATGGTAGTCATGCTAACCTTTAGTTTCTCATATTATGACACAGTAAAATGAGAAATCCTCTCATAATACCGAGAAAAGAACCTTTAACTTGTGTTTTCTTGAATGACATCCACCTGTTAGTGTGAACTGCTGGTGCTGTTTTAGTCCAGTAGATGGCATTAGATGTGTTTCACAAGATCAACCTTTGTTTTTTTCTTTTTTGCATATTCATATAAGAGGGTAAAAAGAGGGGTCAAGGACATTGAATGGAATTATTTCTCTGCACAACAATGGTAAATAATACACATGCACATGCAAACAACAGAATATTAAGGAGTCCGTCTCATTCCAATGAGGGGAAAATGAAAACACCAGGAGAGATGTTTTTAAAGCCCTCCACACTCAGGTAACACGAGGTAAACACACACACACACACACACACACAGAGGTCATTTTCAAAGGGGGTTAGTGAGCAATGAACATGCGGTCAAGTTGATTCTCAAGCTGGAAATCACGACGACACTGCAGACTTACCACTCGCGATATATGGCCCTGTTGAAGGGGAGGATGGAGGGAGATGGAGACAAAAACAATATTTATACTGTAAGACCTGAGTAAATGTTTAATTTTGCAACAAGTCCTACATAGTGCAGCTTTTCAAAAGGAGGTGTTTGCCTGTTCAGACTTTTAAGCCACATAATTTAGCTTCACGGTCAGTAAAACAGCGACTGCAGCTGCGTCACCGGTTGTTATGGTTTTGTTTGGTGAATTCTCCCCTAAACCTGGACGGAGGCCCGGGCTGGCAGTAAAACTTCAGCTTCTACAAAGTGGCAGCACACATGACCTTTTCAAGGCTTAATAAACGGCAAGAAATACCCAAAAAGGGCGATTACTGTTATAATGAGTCTAAGTCTTGCAAAAAAGGAAACTGAAAACATATTGCGGACGAGGGATCGGCGCTGAGCTCAGTTTGAGCTGCACATTGTGCTTTTCCTTTTGTCTGCAGCTTTCAGCCAAACAGAAACAGTGTTTACCTTCAAACACAGAGCGGTGACTATATTTTTAGAGGAACACAGCAACTCAAATGTCTGAGTCACTGATGGTGAAACCAGACAGGAGAAACCAGGTAGGGCACATTCTTGACGTGCTCCAGAATACTTAGGTTTACAGAAACACGTGAGACAAGAGCACATTCACAGCAGCAGGGACGAAAAACTGCTCGATTTTAGATTACGGATTTAAAGCGCAAAACTGATGAAGCTGTTGTTTTGAAGTTTCACTGAGACAGCTCCTCTCGCTCATAACAAGCATCACAGTCCAAAGTCTGCTGAGAAAACCCGTCATAAATGAACACCACGTGAATATGAACTAAGAGGAAAACTTATTCCATTACAAGAAGGCTTTTTTAAAAACTGTTTCCTCAATCTGAGCTCCTTGAAAGTCAACATTTCAGAAAGTTGGTTTCAAACGCCATTAACAGTTTTTTTATTGGAACTGTATAAACACTAATTAATCAGAAATCCTGTACAGTTAATGTTTGACCTAACCTTTGTATTAGTGGCACTCCTGCTTGCTGTGTTGTTTTCATGCTACACACACACACACAACATGCACGTTTTGGTCACTCACGTGCAAACAATTGTTTTATAGAGTCAAACATTATTCAAAGCTATAATCTATAACTAATAAATGATCCTTATCGGACATTTGCTGTGACTCACCTCAGCCTCTCCAGACACTCCAACACATGTTGCTGGATGTTGTCGTCTTTCTCGTAGCTCTCCAGCAGAGAGATGGCATCGTCGTGGTTTTGGCAGTAGATCTTGTAGACCTCCTCCAGCTCGTCTTTGAAGTCCAGAAATACCTTTCCTGAGGAGACAGGGCGACAGAAATGTTCATTTAGGAAGGGAAGCAAGAAAAATAACGAGGAGGAGATGTCTTAATGAATAATCACACACAACTCAAACACTGTTGTCTGGGGACAAAACAAGTCACAAATCTGATTATTTCTACACAACATTACTTTATATAATTCTGCTTTAGTTTACTTCAGCTGACTCATTTCAAAGCACATTTACAGACAATAAAATTCCATCAGGGGACACTTTATGGTTGAGAGTAAAGTACACAACGCTTTGCAGGAAACAAACTTCCTGATTGGAAGTGCGTCTTTTGAAAACCGGCTCCTCACCTGTAGAGTCCGTCTCCTTCAGCGAGTCAAACAGCCGCTGCGACAAGTCGATCACGGAGCCGATGTTGCCAAACAGCCCTTCGAAGTCCACATGCTTCACCTTCAGAAGGAAAGAACGGGTTAAAAGTGTTGTAATATTTACTCAGTGTTTTTAAAGTTTTATTTTTACTCTGTTTGTGTTGTAGTTTGATAATCTTTCACAGGAACCTCATATCAGTCATGCTGTAAATCTAAATACATGAAAACATCCTAAAAAAAAGCAAACCTCAATGTTTCCTTGCACTTTTTTTGCGCTTCTTGAAAACAGACATGTAAATCTCATGTTTTAATGTTTCAGACAGACTCCACCTCCACTCCTGCTCACATCCATTTCATTTTCTACATGCTGGCATCCCTATATGTTCGAATTCAGCTGCACGACGTGTCCATCTTTTTACCTGCTTCCTCTGCAGAGGCTCGATGATCTCCTCGACACACATCTGCAGATCTTTGATGTAGTCCTTCTCCGTCTGCAGCAGCTCCTCGATCACCTTCGACCTCTTCTCCAGCATCCTCAGCTCAGGATCCTCAGCGCCCGTGCCGGAGGTGGGAGTCGCGTCCGAGGCCGGCGACGAGTCCAGAGGTTTGGGTTGGGAAGATAAAAGCGTCATCTCTGGAAAGATAAAGGGTTTTTTTGATTTAGTCAGTGCTTCATGTGCTCCTTTACAGCTGCTTCTCTGCTTGTAAGGACTATTTTCAAATACAATTATTAATTAAACAGTATTTCCTGAAGGGAATTGATCAGTTTCTCCCCATGAATTAATTGCCATGAAGCTGGCAGAAAAGCAAACCTTGTTGTGGCAAAAAGGAGGTTATTGTAAAGATGACAGTGGGAAGAAGCTTCCCAGCCCACGTCTCCATTCATTTGTAACCAAACACAGTTCTGCCCACCCACCCGGTCCGCCCCGTACTCTTCGTCTTGTCTGACAAGCTTTTGATCAATGTCTCTGCTATCACTGGCAGAGCGCTGATCGCTGGGGGAGCCTGGGACTGGAGGGGAAAAGACCAGTTCACGCACCGCTGCTTTTTATGAATGGACACAAAACTGGATTGGACTCAGGCTCTTTGTTTGCGGCACAATGGCTTGTGACAGCAACTACAGACATATAGGCTCTCCGGGACCGGGCAGACTTTAAAGAAGAGGCAGTTAGAGAGGGACAGGGGGAAGAGAGATAACAGCACCGGAGAGGGATGAGAATCTGTCTGTGGAGCTCAGGCACATTGTACACATAGAGATTGTAAGGAATCACTGCTGCTGCATCTGCTGTGTGTGTTTGTACATTTTTATTTATAAATGTGTGAACTGTATTTAATGTTGCATAGCGTTGTGTCGTTAATGTATAGAAATGCAGAGTTTTTTAAGGTGTACTTTTAAGATTAAAATGGATTTTGTGTGAAAATCTTTCAAGCTTAGAAGTGACTGTTGTTGTCTGATAAATTCAGTGGATTAACCGTCCGAACCCAGAACAGTTTTTGGTCCTGCACCTCCAAGGAAACAGCACGAGCACCACTAGAAGTAGAGAGAACTCCAGAATGTCTTTTGTGCAGTATGGCACAGTTGCAATGCCAAAAAATTTTTAAAATAGAATCGACATGTCCAATATTTGTCCAAGTTCCCACAAAAAAAATGCAGCCTTTACATATTGGAGATTTAATTTTGCATTTATTTCCAGACTTGTCTCCTATTGGTTCTGTGTGAATACAGCCTGCAGTTCAGCCCAGTTTAGCAGAGAAGTCCCTCAATGTTTGTTGTTTTTTTCTGTTGGAACCAGGTGAGCCACTCATGGCTTCACGGCTGCAACAAGGAGCGCAGAATTTTTAGTTTTTTAAAGAATCTGGTTAGTGCAAAAAAACTTCTGAAACTTGGTGAAGTTTCCTGAACAGAACAGGAAGGCACAGGTGAGCAGTTCAAGGGCTGTCGGAAAGCAGAAAATCTACTGATCATTTCTGTTTTCATGCGTTCTATCTTTTATTAATGGTGTCACATTGGCAGTTTTGTTAAAGACAAATCTGCAGCTGGGGTTTGAGATTCCCGTGCAGTAGAACTATTAGGTTCCATGACTAGAAAATACTAAAATACTGTACTTTTATTATATATCTCATCATATCTGTTGCTGTAACTTCATCCTCAAAAAGCATAAGATCTTAGATTATCGGAGTACAGTAGCTGCACAAACACCTGCACATACAAAAATCGCATTAACATATGTAAGTGTAATATTCTAAGGAGTCACCATAAGTAACTGCATGAAGGGAAACACTGATGTTAGTTTGCGTATAAACAGTTTGTGGATGGGAGAATCTCAGCAGGGGGACACTCGGCTTGTGCTGCGTTGACGGATGAAGGTGACGTCACCCTTCCTCCTCGAACAGATGCTGTCAGAGGCTAATGAAGTTAACTCTGCTTACCCTGATCTCACTTCATGCAGGAATCTGCACACTTGCATGCTACCCGCACAGACAAACTGCGACAAACTCACAGTTGTGTGTAAATTGCACAAAAGCATGTAGCACTTCTTAACTTTACCCTTAAGTGACGACTGGCTGTCTAAAATATCCACCTCTCATTGGAGGACTGTGGAAGAATCAGACCTTGTGAAGCGTAAATGCAAAGCCTCACATCACAAGACAATGATCTAGCTGCATGTATGTGGTCTGTAAACAATAACATGTGTGTGGTCTCACTGGGTCACCTGCCTTTTGTCCCCCTCACACCCTGACCTCATCCCCCTCTCTCTCCTCACGTGACTTGGCTAAAGCTCGACCCAAAGGAGCTTTTCTCATCGCTTCACCGTATCAGCCTGCAGCATCCGTCACCGCCAGCTGCCAGCGCTCGCGCATTCACCCCCCCCCCTCCTCCTCGCCGGTGAGAAAGTAGTCCGGTAATGGGTTTTAAAAGTCACACGGGCGACACAATGCGGAGAAACTGAAAACAAAAGACTGCGAATTTAATTGGAATCAATCGGCTCATTCCCACGTTTGATCCCAAACATCCACATCACACGCTCCACTTCACGCGTTTCAATAAGCGAGTATTTCCGTCGACCTGTCGGAGCCACGTGAGCGGATTTTGACCCACTTCGGAGGGAATTTCGCCTTTTTCTTTGTTCTGTGAAGTTTCATAAAGAGGAGTTACACTTTGTTTGCATGGCTGCACGTAGACACACAGCGGCTTTGGAGCAGCTCGAGTGCAAGTCGCTTGATTCATTTCACATCTAATTTACAGCAAAACTGACATTCATCAAGCAAGCGGAGCGAAGCGTTTTATATTTGACTACTTCTTGTGAAAAGAAATACATCACACTCAGCCAACTGCTTCACAGAACCACTTCCTGAGTGTTAACAATCATGCAGACTAATGATTCAGAGCGACCAATAAGCATCCTCTGGATTCTCAACACATTAACGACGACATAAAAGTCAACTTTGAGGAACAAGTCTTGACCTTAATCAGCATTTATTCCATTAATCTTACCACCTGTTGATCGTCAAACAGCACCCAAAAGCCTCACACTGTGTTTTCAGGACACAATCACAACACTGTTCCCGTAGTTTCGGCGCGGCACAAAAACAACAAGCTTGTTAAAGGAGATGTTTGAGATTTGCAGGGAGAATAAAGAATGTTTGGATAGGTCTGGGTGTGTGTATTGTGTGTGGGCTTTGACCCTTTATGCGCTACAGTGTACAATAAGCCTTGTGTGTGTACAGTGTAGTCAAACACAGACATGAAGAACTGGTGGACAGAGCCTCTATGTGGGGAAAATGTAAAAAGGAACCGGTAGCCATGACTCTGCAGGGGGGAGGTTCTGTGTTTATCTGCATACCATGCTGACCTGGTTACACATATTAGAGAGTTTGGGAAATAAAACAAAGAGCTGCACACATCCAGACTGATGGGTCGGTTATATAGGTTAATGAATATGGGAGTTTTTTTTTTTTTTATTCCAGTTCCGTAACTAATTGGCCTCTTTTTTTGATGACATGTTAAGCTGAAAACAAAAACTGCACCAGAACTATTTTGGATAACACAACTTTTACATTTATCACAGGTAAACGGCTGCGTTTTAACAAATGGGGGAATAGAATACATTAAAAAAAACACCAAAAAAGCAAGATTTTTCTGATTTAAAGGATGTATTTCAAACAAATATTGACGCAAACTAGAAGAATATGTAGTTCAAAATGATCCAACATATGTAATTATGTGTTTTCTTCTGCTGTTCAAGACTCATTCGAACACAATCTCCAGCATTGTGGGTCACAGCTTTAAGCCGCTGTTTGTAATCCACAGGCTTTAACAGGTGCAATAGTGGAAGAGTGCGGATTAGAGTCCAAAAAGCAGGTTCACTGACTCATCCATCGCTATGTTTGCCAAGTGAAACCTGGAACAGCTCCGTTAACATCGGTTCCGCGGTGGGAAGAGTTCTGGGATTCGTCTGGAAAACTCAGTGAACCCGGTTCTACGAACAGGAGTTTGGACATTTCTCTGGAAGCAGGCAGGTCTGCTTATGGGAGCAGTTATGATTTCTATCTCTTCTCCTCGTGAATCTTGTTCAACACTAAGCGTATAGTTATAAAAATACACACAGCAGGGAGTGGACGGTGCGGTACGTCACAGCACTATAAAATAAAACGAGGCGGACAAACAGCTCTTGCTCCACTGCACCAGCTATCCTCCGACACCCAGTGTGACTCAAGTCAGAGTCACAAGTGTTACATTAACGAAGGCCATCAAAGATTTAACAGAAACTCAGTAGCAGATATCAGCTGAAGGGCTCAATGTTACTCAGAAATGGGTGGGACTGTGATCAGAGTGTTTCTGGGGTGAACTTCTGGGTTTAACCTTAAGTGCATTGCCTCATTTGCAAGAAATCCAATATTTTTTAGCTTTTTTTGTTTGTAAGATTCACATAAAAGATGCGTTCTGTCCACTTGGGTTAGGTTTTGGAGGAAAAATGGGTCAAAGAATGGAACGTTACCGATCACAGATTTCATTCTTTCTAGCAAATATTCAAGCAACTGAAAATGTCGCCTTAAAATCTCAGCTGTTAAAACAGAAACACTCCCTAAAATTCTCTCCAGGCTGCTCTCTGAGGCATTTTCACGGACAGAAAAGAGAGCAAAGGGGGAGGAAAAAGGGGAGAGAGAGATGATGAGGCTTCTTCACCCACCTGCTGTTCCCAACTTTCTTCGGACTACTTTAAAAACACGCACACGCCCCTCCACGCAGAGCAGTTCAAACAACGCCACCCATTCTGAGATAGTCCATTGTCAAATCTGAAGTCCGGCTCCTGAGCCTCGTGGAGGACTGAGCGTCCCGCTGCAGAAGCTCCATTCCAGAGCTCCAATTACCATGAGAATGGATGGGAACCCACCATCATTACACACAAACACAGACACACACACACACACACCAGGGAGGACGACCACTCTGGCAGATAATAAAACCTGGAGCTGAACTCTGGTTATTTGTGGGAAGAAAAGCACAGAAAAGGTGTCTTAAATCCACAATACAGAGAAAAAAAACCTACTTAGAATCAGTATGTCGTGTGAAATTAGATTGTTAGGAGCGATCATGACCAAAAATCCTGACCACAGAGTTGTTTTTTAACT